CTTGTTATCCATTGCGTAATAGCCCATCTGATCACACTGTGCTCAGAGCATGCCGGGAGTTTCCTTCTGGATTCCAACAGAATCACCGACCACTCGGATATCCAGTGACTGGTGCGGTGACGATCAATAGTACCACAAGTAGATGCTCTTGCGCCGTGCATGGCGACCAAGATCCTATTCCACTAAAGCTCAGTGTCATTAGGACAAGGGAGTGAAAGCTCGGTACGCAGTGCAGCTTAGTAGGTTTGATTGACCGAGGGCTGAAATAACTTCTCAGTTGCCAATCGGGAGAGACGCTTGGTGCGCCTCCCAGTTCATGGAAAAGCGACAGCGTAACAAGACATGAACAGAGTCAACACAAATACTTCAGAACGAGCGACAATCCAGGATGGAACCACGCCACCTGTAACTTATGACAATGGGATCAAATTGGTTCCATCTCTGGCCAGCTACAGGTGGACGCCAAGTGGTACTTCGGTGCCCATTGTGTTTGAAACCAGTGCCACAAAGCAACTGCTAGTGCTCCACACAGTTGCAAAAGACGCTCGCCGTTGTCCATTCGTTCGGAGTTAAGTCCATAACTATCACGTAGCTGAGCTGCTGAAGAGCCCAGGCGAGGTACTTGTACATGCATATCCCCCGCAAGTACTGACATCTGAACTGGTAGCACTGCGTAGTAGCGTGTTCAGTCCGTGGTAGAATGTCTTCGGCAGCATTAGAACTGCAGTCGGTGGAAGCACAAGCGGAAAGCACAAACAAACAGCGTTTTGTACTACTTCGTGAATCAACCTTGGTCGGCAAACGGGTTGCACACAAACGGCTGTTTATTGGAATCCAATCAATCAACGATGACTGAGCTTTGGAGCTGAGTATGATAACTACCCCAGCTTGACCAGAGGGTGCCGCATCTGTGTCTTCGGATGCGTGCAAACAATAGCGAGAGGACAGGCTAGACGCAGTTAATGCAACAACCCCATGAGGGTCACTGATCCTAGTTTCGGATACGCAACATACGTCAATACCCAGTGTGTCCAAGGTGTGTACGAGTGCAGCCTGTTGACCTATTTGTCTTAGAGTGCGAACGTCGAACGCCACCAGGAAAACGGGACAACGTGGCCTTACAAGGGACCGTTGCCGATTGGTGTCCAGTGGGTGGTGCGGGAAGGTAGCTCCAGATGCTAAGACTTCAGTGACATTAAGTTTGCTGTCAATTAAACTGGGGACTATGGAAGGTACGTTAGTAATGGGTTTGGGAGGGGAGTAAGAGAAACAGGTGGAAAAGAAAGGAGGCACTAGCAGTAGCATGTCTTCGCTTATCCGCCATGCTGTATATAGCAGATAAAGCGACCCTTGATAATCTGCGCGATGGCCAATGCAAGATGATGTTTATGTTTGATGAAAAATCCATGGTTGTATGTGGGCTGAGATATTGCCGGGAAGCTGGCTTAGACAGGAGGAGAATTAGTCCTCAATCATAGCCTTTGGCTCAAAAGCCTGTCCGCAAAGCAACGAGGAGGTAGCAATGATCTGGTTTTACAGAAATGGACGCCATCCCATTTTAACCCCCCAACCTGGAGGACTAGGAGACTTAGTTTGTCTGATCTCTAATCATTGGTCAACCGGGTAGGAGTAGCTTTCAAGAAGTCTAGAGGGGGAGCACTTAGGATAGCTCAAAGGGTCAAAGAGGTACGAAAACCGCCGCACCACGTGAAGATTCAGTCTCGTTGCGACGGAATTTGTTCCGCAAACTGCGCACCTTAGCGGACAACATACGCAAACCGTCCATCGACCTCACTGCCCGGGTAGGACAACTGTTGGTCTCCAGCGAGTTCTCAGAGTTTTCCGAACCACCCGAAAATCCACAATGTGAAGGTCCGTTTCACCGTTTGCCCGGCGGCTTCAGAGTTCATTAACTGCACTGTAGCCTAGAGGTAACGAGCGTGTCTCGTAATGTTGCTGCGCGGGTTCAAATCCGCTTAGGGGTGGCGCCCACGCGGGATACTCATTTCGCGTGCGACTGTTGGTGGTCGCACGGCAGCGAAGTACCGTTAAGGCGTACAGCTGACATTATTACTTATTATTATTACTGCACTCTTCATTTTTATCCAATCTCTCAGAACATAAAAAAACGGTTCTCCTTTAAGACTTGAAGTGCGTCGGAGGATGTGACTGCATTTAGCTTCGCTTTGGCAAACGATCTTGAGAGGGTGAGACTTTGTAGAATCCTCCTGCTTCCTACCAATATGGAAGGCAGAAACATTTATACCTGGTTCAACCACATCAAATAGCAGTGAAACCATCCGTTTTAGAAACGCTTCATCGTTTGGATCCTTTCAGCTGGCGTAGCTTTGGTAGACTCCGGCACATTCACGACTATAAGGCAGCGGTCACGAGAGGGGCGATAGGAGGCCCTAGATGCATGCTGCTTATGAGAAACCAATTTGTCCTTCATCAAATTCTCCGTGATTCCATCGAGAACCTGCTTAATCTTCAATTGCGAAGAGTGCTTAGATTTGACACTAGACCCTGTTTTGGGCTTCGCTTCTCGCATATCTGAGTTACGGCTGCCAGAGGACTCCGCGAGTTCTCGCACCAAAAATGCATAGGCCTTAACCGGAGGCTCGGCATGTTAATTGGCAACATTTACTGAGTTAGACGTGGCGCGACTTTGCTTACCAGTGGGGGTGACAAACGCAGAAGAGGGGGAAAGGATGACCCGCGGTTAAGACTGAGTCAACAGAAGCAAGCAACGCAGTACGAGGAAGAGGGAGGTGGACTAAGCGCTGGTTATTCAGCAAGCAGATGCTTGTTGCTAATTGTCATTCGGCAGGAATCATAAAAGAAGGCGATCGCCTGAAGAGATCCATATAAGCCTGGACAAATATCACAGCAGGCAACGTGAATCCAACCATCACACAAGGAGCATTGTAAGACCTTCGGTCGGTGAGTGACACCCTTATTAAAACAACACAGAAGCCGTGGGGAAATGATCGACGATGTAAACCAGCGAAACTCAAAAATGTATCGCTCCGATCCTAGAAGCAGGTCGAAGAACAAGTTCAAGTGGGACTGTAACGACAAGATTATCCCGTGAGTGTTCCTTCTTCAGCGGGTCGTTCAACCAGGAGTTAACGGACTTTGGAATACAAAGACCGCATCACACCCTGTCCAACCAATCATTGCCCATGTATCCTGCCTTAGCAGTCCTTCTGAGCCGGTTACATGACGCAAGAGAGAGCTAAACAAGTAGAATAATAAAATATTAGTCATCAAAAAACGAACAAAGACTGAAGATGAGTCAAGAAGACGGAAGGGTTTGCTGTTGCCACTCAAGAGCATAGAGCTAAAGCTCAAGACCCTTAACCGTAGGTTCCCCAACCACATGATCTGGAAGCGAATTCCAGCGATCTATAACTCGGCGCGACAGATGAGCTTCCGTCCTAATAGGATCAGACCGTCGTTCATGCAGTTTCAGCGGGTGACCGAGGAGATTAGGTACGTAGCGGAACAAAATAGCCTAGACAATTCCGGGCCGAGCTCACCCGTCAAAATATGTTAACTGAGAACCAAGTCCCCTCCTATCCTTCGGTAGTTCATGGAGTACATCCCCAATCTAAGCAAGCGTTCAGGATACGTCTGTCTCCGTAGACCATGCACTAACGTAGTACCCAATCCTACCACCCTCTCCAAGTTCATTTTGTGTCGGATAGGACATGGTGGACAAGCCTGGATACAATTTCCTAGTGGGGTCGAGTTAACGGACGTTACGCAGGTATGAAGGAACCAATGAGATTAGATAGTGACGTGGACAAAAGGGACGAATGGGGATTTCTGTCGAATGTTGTACTCCGAAAACCCCTTCCTCAAAGCATATAAAGGAAGAAAATCTACAAGAATCGAAAAACTAAGGTTCAAAACGCGCGCATGACACAGATCTATCTATCTACGGCAGCAATCATCCGGCAGCCCACAAACGCAGCTGCGTGCGAACCCTTTACAAACGAGCACAAACCCACTGTAGCACACAGCAGCTGAGACGGGCAGAGGAAGATCATCTCTTTAATCTGTTCAAGCAGAACTCATACCCAAAAGGCTTCATTCTACGCTGTCTCGCATCACAAAAGGTTGCTCGACACACCTCGACAAATGTAACAGCTGAAAAGAGAACAACACTGCCCTATATCAACGGTATCTCTGAAATGGCAGCGAGGCTTTTATTGCCTTTTGGAGTCAAAGTTGCACACCAGCCAACGGAAACCATTCGCAGTAAACTCTTCAAAGTGAAAGATAAACTTAGCAAAGAGGAAGAAACTGGTGTGATTTATAAGATCTGCTGCCGGAACTGCGACAAATACTATGTGGGACAGACTGGGAGAAAGCTTGGCACAAGGCTACACGAACACAGCCTAGCCATACGTCGCCACGATCAGAACTCCCTGATGTCAGTGCACATGGATGCTGAGAACCATCAATTCGACATAGAGCATGCCAGTATCCTCGGAAGGGCTAAAAGCCGGCAAGCATGTGAGTTTACTGAAGCCTGACATTCAAAGCAGAACTCGATCAATAAGCACTTGGACATTGAAATCGCTTACGAGGCACTGCGAACCAGGACCCTGAAACCGCACTGATGATGTTGCCTAGTCAGGCAACGAAACGTCTGCACAATACTCACTCAGCTCGGAGAACCGCTCAAAATCCGCATCCACACCCCGAGCTACGGATATTCTCACTTATTACAGATCTATCAAAAGTGCGAGCATATTATCAATCCCTAGTTCAACGATTTACTCAAGAAGGAAAGCTTACGGCATTCTCCTATCGTTCCAGTCTCACCTGAACTTAAATTCGCGCATATCATCCTAATTCCGGTAAATATGTGCCCAGAATGGAAATGGTTAGCGGCATCCGGTTTCGGATTTGCCTGTCACTGTGGCCAGCCACAGGATGCCTGCGCCTACAGAGGGACCATGGGTGGCTTGCGCTGCACCACTCACAGCTCCAACCACACACCCCATATCCAGTGTAAACCCGATGGAATAAGAGCGGGAGGCATGTGGATTGGAGCCATGTTTCATAAACGGAGCCGGCCCACACTCCTTCACAGGCAAACACAAGCACGCTGTATTTGGGGAATCAAGCGCACACAAGGCGGTGGCTGGACCGTAGTTCGCTCCACACTGAGTGAATGGAACCGCTCTTAGAGCCTAGCACGGCCACAAGGAAAGTGCACCCTGTCCCCTCCAGCAACGACCAACTGTCTCCTGGAGCCAGTATGCACGAGGTAGTGGGTAATAGACAGGTAGGCACCTTGTCAACATGCAATCAAGCGCAGCCACACCGGGGATATCAAGCAACAGCCAATCACCTGAAACGACAAGATGAAATAAAACAAATCCAATAATGCATACAGATACGGTGGCATAACTCCTTGCTAAATTAGCATATGAAGTAAGTTGGTTAGCAACGAATCCGCGATAAGGAAAAATGTCCACAAGTTAGTTAAAAGTGCTACAAACGCAACAAAGTTACCGTAGATAGGCGCAGTTAGTGTAAACAACGTGGACAGTTAATAGAAGATTATGCAGGTAGGCAGAACAAACCAAATAAAGAGGAATGAAATTTAGCCAGCTTAAAAAGACTTAGTTTAATGTAAGTTGGTTTAGCCCAACTGCGGTGAAGAAGCATCAAGAATGCAACATCAGCCTCAGCATGGGGCACGCGCAGAATGGAAATACTACCATCGATAAATACCTGGCTCAGTGAGACACTCAAGACGAAACATTAGTGGTAAATTGCTTATGTTCCATTCCTAAGTGGACTTGAGTGACATATATGTATGCAAACCAATGAGACCAAAACATAAACGACTCACTCAGAACTTGAGGGTATCGCTCCAAAGATCAGGAGCACGTAACAAGTTCGGCAAACGGATATCTCTGGAAAAATAGGTGAATGTATACATAGGTGTAGATAGGTTACTTTAACAGTCGGTAATGCTTCCTCCTCTTCGCAGCATTCTAAACAATTATTTTCGATGTCAGTGAGATTAAATTGTCTTAGTTCTTTGCAAGAGTTGCATTTTAATTGCGAAGTAAATCCCAGAGTAACGCATTTGCGTTTATCGGCTTTGCGTGTCTGGGTCTAGATGCAAAACCATTCAAAATGCGTAGCGTACACCTACCATGTTAACCAACAGACACAAGAACAAGGCACAAGCCAGTGGATTGACACATTGTGGAAATCGCCGCACGAGGGCGTTGAGCGCCGCCATACGTAAGGTAGCGTCTGTAGTATGCGTGCGGTCGAGGATTCCGAGGGCTTCCGTGTCCAGTGCGTAGATAGGTCGTATGAGATCCGGAGAGCTGCAATGTAAAGCAAAAATCTCAGTTCAGTCCAAGTGGGACTGGAACAATAGGATGAATCCCTTAAGTGTTCCCTCCTTGAGCAGGTCGTTGATTCAAGAGTTGGGGATGCTCCGATTTCTTGATGAATCTAAAATGAAAACACCCGAAACACCCTGGTCCACCAATTTAATGCCCACGTTTCTTACATTAGCTGTCCCTGCTATGTCAGTTCCGTGAAGTAAGACAGGAGAAATACCGAAGGTAGAGTAAAAGAAATCAGTGACGGTGAAGTACAGAATATAGAATCGAAGTATGAAGATGCGAATTAGTAAGGAAAATGGAAAGGTTTCGTGTTACCAGCCAAGAGCATCTAGTTGATGGTCAAACCCCTTAACCGTAACTTCCTTGAGGACATTTTTTGGGAGCGAGTTCCAGCATTCGATGACTAGACGCGGTAACCGTGTCTCCGCTTTAACTCAATCGGACCGCGGTTTGTCCAGCTTTATAGAATGCCTGCGGAGACCCGATAATTTAGCAGGACTAAATAATTAGGACAAATCAAGACCAACCTTCCTAGTTAAAATACGGTAGGTTAGGATTAATTTCCTTTTAATCCTTCGATATTGCATTGAATGCATCCCAAAACTAAGTAGGCTTTCGGGGTACGTTTGTCATCGTAACCCCTCGACCAACCTAGTACCGAAACGCAACACCCTTTCTAGTGCCATTGTGTCCTGGACAAGGCATGGTGGACAGGCCTGGACGCAATATGCTAAGTGGGGTCGCACAAACGCTGAGAAGAGCTTCACAAACATATCAGTCGTCATGGTTCCGAAAGAACGACGGATAAACCACAACATCCGGAACCATTTACTAGCCGCCTTCTTGCAGTTGTCTCCAGAGTGTAGAGTGGAAGTGGAGGACATCTAGATCAACCTGTGTCACGTGAGGAAATTCACTCCCATCGAGCACATAACTTGTGGAGAAATCAGACGCTCCGATACGTAGCACTGAACACTGTCCAGTTTATGAGCAGCAATCACAAGACAGACCATTCCCAGAGTCTATCCAGAGCCCGCTGAAGAGCCACAGGGCCTCGAGGGATATCAACAATATTCCAGAGGTTTAGGTCGTCAGCAAATAGGAGCGATGGTACCTCAAGCTCCCCGGCAAGTCATTGAGGTAGACTGCGAACAGCAGCGGACCTAGGATAGAGCCTTGCGGAACGCTGCTAAGAACAGCTTGTCGAAACGAAAGACTACTTCCACACGAATACACTGTTCCCGTTCATTCAGAAAAGCTGGCTGGTCATATCACAACCACCAAAGTTGAAGTGGGACCGGAACAGTAGGAGAATCTCGTGATTGTTCTACCTTGTAAAGCGTCGTTGATCCCGGAGTGAAGTCTGTGGGGCGATCTGCAAGGAGCCAAATCAACACACACGGTACACTCTAGGTCAACCAAACAATGCCCACGTGCCCTGCACTAGCAGTCCCCGCTGTGCGGGCCACGCAAAATAAAGTAAAAGTGGAAGAACAAAAACAAGGCAAGCTGGAACAATGAGTATAACAATTTCGGAACGCAAATGAGAAGCAACAGATAAGAGCAAAGCTAAGATGAGAACAGGAAAGTTGTAAACTATAGACCAAGGGCGTCAAGTCGAGACTCGAACTCTTTCAACGTTGGCGCCAGCCGGCAGCGCATTCCAAGAGTTTATAACCCGGCGTGATAACCGAGAATCAGTCCCAACCCGGTCCGAACGGGGTTTGTGCAACTTCAGTGGATGGCCACGAAGAGTTGGCACCCGAGTGGGATGGAACAGTCCAGATAAATCAGGGCCGACCTGACCTGTTATTATGCGATAGGTGAGGACCAGATAACCGCGAAATCGCCTGTAGTGCATCGAAAACATGTTCAAGTTGATTAACCTCTCAGGGTACGACAGCTTCTTTAATTGAAACACTATTTTCGTCCCCGACCGTAAAACTCGTTCAACTGCCATTTTGTCCCGGACTAGGCAGGGTGGACAAGCCTGTACGCAGTATTCTAAGTGTGGCCTAACAAAGGCTGCAAATAATCTTGCGAACATTTCGGTTGTCATGATCCCGAATGATCTGCGGATCATCCACAACATGCCAAAACCTTTGCGAGCAGCTGCCACCCAATGTTCACTGGACTTAAAATCAGACGACAGCAAGACGCCTAGGTCAGCTTGGAGTGACACCCGTGGAACTTCATTACCCCCGAGTAAATAGTGCGTTGTTGGGTTATTTGATCCTACTCGCAAAACTGAGCATTTAGCGAGAGTAATAGGCAACTGCCACAAAACGGATCAGTTCCATAGTCTACCAAGAACCCTTTATAGGGCCAGTGGACCAAACTTAAAGTCGTCCGCGAAAATTAGAGATGGCACTCCCAGTTCGTCAGGTAAGTCATCAACGAACAAGCTGAGCAGCAGAGGGCCAAAGACCGACCCTTGCGGGACACCGCTGTGAACGCACTGATTTGAAGACGGGCTGGAGCTCACACATCTCCCTTCCGGTTAAAAAAAGCCGAAATTCATTTCAAGACTGACTCCGAGATATCTTATGTCTGCAACTTGTACAAAAGGCGAGAGTGCGGAACAGTGTCAAAAGCTTTGGAGAAGTCGATGAACAATAGGTCCAAGGCTTTTCCTTGATCAACCGCATCGGCCCAGTGTTCGCGGGCAACTAACAAGTTGGTAAGACAAGAATAGCCCTTACGAAAACCGTGTTGGGAAGGGCTGAACAACCCAAACGCCCTTAAATGGTTTTCAAGTGCATCCTGCACAAGTTTTTCCAGGAGCTTGACCAACACGCTGGTTAGGCTAACAGGTACATAGCTCTCAAGGTGTTTGTCACCCATTTTAAAAACGGGACATACAACAGCGTTTTTCCAGTCGTCAGGCAGAGAGCAGCTTCGCAGTGACTTCTCAAACATCCTCGTAATTGGACAGCAGAGTTCATCTGCCAATTCATATAACAGTTTGGGGTGGATAGCGTCTAATCTTGCTGCCTTAGTAGGATTTAGCTCGCATAGAAGCTTGAGCACCTTGGCCTCCGATGTGGAAAGCTCCAGATAAGCATCTACAGTAACTTTAACTTTCAAACCAATGCTCGGCAGGTGCGACTTGCAGACAAATAAATAATAATGTATCAGCTGTACGCCGGAACGGCGCTTCACTGCTGTGCGACCATCAATCGTACGCGGGCTGAGTATACCCCGAGGACGCCTACCCTTAGGCGCATTCAAACCCGTGTCGCAAGTTTAAGAAACAAGCTCGTTACCTCTAGGCTACGGAGAAATAAACGTGCGTACTGTTCCCCAAGCAAGGATGCGTAGTCAAGATCAGAGACAGTAGCAGAGCCGTCTGGACCGAAGAACACCGGGATGAACGGGCTCATATTGCGTCGCCTTTTAATATAAGCAAAGAAGCGTGTTGGGTTTCATGAGGATGTACAGGCAAGCTCGATTTCATGTTGTAACCAAGCACGTCACAGATACTGTCTGCATGAGTTTCGAACTTCTTGGTACTTATGGAAGGTGCATGCCAAAGGAGCAGACACGTAGGCACGCCAACATCTGGTCCGCCCCTTAAGCAGATTTCTCGCCGCGGAATCAAACCATGGTGGCCTGGCTTCAGTTTTATTCCTCACAGAAATCGGTATGTGAGGTAGAGACAACTCAGATAAATAGGACTAGAATGTGTCCCAGGCTGCCTGAATATCGTCGGTGTCTGAAATGACGCGAGATGATTTGGCGGCCTTTGGTTTCATAGCATAAAAATCGGCACGTCATATGTTTGGTCTTCGGGGAAGCACTTAACGAATAGGCAGTGAAAAGTCAAGGAAACAACTCTTTTTATCGGTTTTCAAAACACTTTCTCTGCTTTTCCTTCTGGTCTTCAAAACCTTTTGCGATGTTTTTGGGTTTGCAAAACATTTTGCGTTTTTTTGCGGTTTCCGGAGGGTACCGACGCGAATAAATATCTGAAAACGCTATTATAAGCAAAAATGCCAAGCTAACGTTCTAAGAAACCTGTCGGCCAGTGAACCCGACGACCAGACCAAGTAACCTTTTTAGGCGTGGCAGAATCGGAGGGCTCAGGAGGCAGGTTTCCGGTTGTGGTGTTGCTATCTGCAGGCATTTTCTCCACTAGTGATTGGGTCGATTCATTGGAGGACGAAGAACTGGAGTCGTCGTTCGACTCTGGTTCGATGTAAGCAACTTTGAGACGGTCGACTGAGATGATGTGCGTTTGCCGTTGCGTTCGATGACGAAGAAGCGATCCTTAAGTTGTAGGACCTTGAATAGACTTTCGTAAGGTCGTTCGAGTGGTCTGCGTAGACCATCAATGCGAATGAAGACAAACGGGCAGTGGTGAAGATCTTTGGGAACGTAAGACTTGCGATGCTGTTCCCGTACTGGGATAGATTTATTGGGGCGCATGCTCGTGGCTAGCTGCCGAGCGTAGTGCGCGTCGTAGCAAGGAGTGTTCGGGCTTTCAGAGAAGTCGCCTGGTAATCGGTGGTTGTCCATAGACCAGTTCGGCGCTTGACGTTTCGAGATCGGCTTTCAGCGCTGATCAAATTCCGAGTAGTACTATTGGCAGAACTTCTGTCCAACTACATGCACTGGCGGCACTTAGCGAGGCTTTAAGCTGTCGGTGGAAGCGTTCCATCATTCCGTTTGTTTGAGGATGGTAGGCAGTTGTCCAGTTGCGTTTACATCCGAGGACTTTGAGTAGGTCGTTGAATATCGACGATTCGAAGTGTGGACCACGGTCGGTAGTCACAGTAGCTGGACAGTCATGTGAAGCGACCCAGCGCTCGACGAATGCGCGCGTTATGGTCTCAGCGGATACATCGGGAATTGGAACAGCTTCAGTCCAACGAGTGGCGTGATCCACCATGGTCAGAATGTGGATCACACCTTTGGACGGAGGAAGTGGTCAGTTCAAGTTCAAGTGGGACCGGAACACTGGGAAAATCCCA